AACGTTAGGAAACAAAACTTCCAGAACACAGCCACACAGCCTGGAAGACCCACACCAGCCATCATATTCCAGCCGTAAAAGCCTTCGACAATCCATCTGGACTCCTTCTAAGAAAATACAATAGCCAAGTCAAGGCAAATTTCTCTAGCTTAAAATAAATGTGTTTCTGAAGTTGTAGAACTGCTGTTGAGTGGGGATAGAAAGAATCTTGAAGTTGATCAGCAAATCATTCAAATAAACCATTAAAAATTATCCAACAGCTAATAAAAATATGGTTAATAAATCTCATGAAAACTTGAGGACTTCCAGAGAATCCAAACTTCAATAACTGATACCAAAGTCTATTAAACATTCATGACCATAATTAGATTGTAACTGTAATTGTAAGTAGATTGTAAGCTCCTCTGAGATCCCACTTGGTTAAAATGTGTGTTTCCTGCAGTTCTAAACATTTGGAGATGAGGAAGAAAATGGTTGCAGTGTTTAGGAGCTTGTAATCATGAACCACACATAAAGAGCCATCCTATTTTTTAATGGAGAAAACAGGAGCCCTGGCAGAGGAGGACAAAGAGGGTGGATGAAACCCTTTTGCAAGTTATTATCAATAAATATTCTTAGACTATTTCTGATATGGGGTAGGGTTTTGATATACAAAATCATGAATTGGCCTTTTACAAATAAATTATAGCAACTAAATGTTTGAGATCAGCATAGGTTAATATTTCAACATCTTTGTCAAGTTTTCTACTTAAACTATTTTCTGATATCACCATTTCAGAATGATGAAACAAAATAAAGCAAAGCAAAGCAAAAACAAACAAAAAAAGGTATTATGGAAGGATAACATACACTATAAGGGAGTCATTACATAATCCATGGAATGCATTTGAAGGCAATGAACTCAGGTATGGATTATCAGAAATTTCACTGTGAAAAAAGACAAAAAAGCTTTAGCATTACAATAAAATGCAGTTAATATTGCTATAACATGTGTATGCGTGCGTGTGTAGCATTTGTTTTATTTTTTTATAGTTCTGCCATTTGTCATTATATAACCTTCATTGCTGTTGTCTTTGTGACTAAATTAAAAGTGTCAGTTTGGATGAACAAAATTTTTAGTAATGCCTAACAAGAAAATCTGGTGGCCTATGTTTTACTGTGATCTTCTAAAACTGATAAAGCTTTGCATAAGCTAAAGCACATATTTCACTCCTCCAAACTCAAAACCTCAATAAATGAAAAATAGGTCTGAACATTTCATTCTAGACCACTCTGAGCAGTATGGCTTTGGGGCCCATTGGTCACTTGCAGGCCATTGATTACCAGCTCCTGAATTAGAGAATCCAGGAGATACAGAGTGTCTCTCTGGAAAACTCTAGCTGAAACTGGTCATTACAGTAGATATAAAGCTGCCAACAAAAATAACCATACATTCTCTACTCCTCTTTCTTCCATTCTGTTTAATAAAATATCGAAGAAGGTATGCTGTCATTGGACAACATGTTTCCCCGTCTCAGAATAATTTGCAAATCAGTAACCATGTCTTGAGCACTATACATTTACCATGGCCTAAGGGTCTTACAAGCCAGAATATATATCAATAATCTTAATATTGAGAGTATTATTGTATTGTCATTTGTGCTTTGTGAATGGTCACTGTTAATAAAATAATTGTCACTGTCTGTACTTTTGGGGTTTCGTTTCTTTCCGACTTCACTGTTTAGGTTCCCACATGATATCTGTAAATACCAACAACTTAGAATGACATTTTATGAGTATAGTGAAGTGGATTTCAATTCATAAAAAGTTATCCAAAATAACTGCATTAGTTTTTAAGGTGTTGTGGTTCTTGGGATTCTATCACACACTTCCAGTCACTAACTGGATCACTTCATGGGTTAATCATTCAGCCTTGCTTTCTTCTGACCTCTAGCTACTTAATGAAGTTCTTCAGAGGGAGCTAGTTGATCTCCCTTTTCCTTGGTAGGGGGAAGGGGGCTAGGAGTGCACCCTCTTTCTCCCTTGTTCACAGGTTAGCCTCTTATGACTTACCTACAAATAAGACTGCCTTTAATATTGTATTACTTTAGATTTCCATGGAGAAGATTAGAACAGGTACAAGGCTTTTGTTTTCAATAGCAGCCTCACATTTCATAGTGTATAGTTTGACCTCCGTCTTTGGAAGATTCCCAGATCTTAAAAGTTAAGACTAATTTTTTATAACAGATTTCAAGAGATTAAAGCATTTCATCTGTTTCTTATATTTTCTATATCATATGCATTTTAAAATATAAATTGTCCATCTTGAGAACTTCTGATGAAATAAAAAATTTAGAACGTTTATTTTTATTAATTTAATTAATACAATTACTATTTCAGGAGACAAAGCAATCAATCTTCATTCCCCCCACCCACCCAATTTTCATTTTAAATGGGCCGCTATTGACTGCTGTTTGGTCCTATTACCCTATTACTTTGGGTGATACATACTTACAGCAAAAAGTTCATATTTACTGAATTAATTTTGGTGAGGTCAGGAAAAACACCAAGTCCAGTATTCAAGATCACACTAAAATAAATAATAAAAAACAGATGGCAGGAGAACTCAGTAATGTGCTTAATACAGAAAACAATTCATTTATTGCACTATAGCCTCAGCACTCTTTCTATTAATAGCTCCTAGAAAAGATCGGGAATGTATATATGTACCCCTTTGTAGATCATCTGTCAGACTGATAATTAGGCAGACAAGCAGGATATAGAATATTTTAGAATAGTTTAAAATAAATTTACTAATCTAAGTCTTACATTTTTTTTATATACAAATAGTGCTTAGTACTTCCCAGAATAAAATGCTACATGGAGCTATTGTCTAACTTCTGAATGGTGCTTTCTCCTGTGTATTCCTGGAATCAACAGACTGATTTGAGAAGTATTCCTTGAAAGCTTCTCCTTAAAAGGAATCCAGTCTGAGATTATGTAATTTCTGCAATAAAAGTGCAAGAATTGAATCCTTGCAAAAATAAACAACTTGATCCTATTTCTCCATTGTGATATTAGAAATTGATTTTCTCTGGGATGAATTATTTAAAGCTAATTCTAAATGGAAGTGTCCCTATTCTAGCTATTTTGACAAATACTAATAATACTGATAACACAACTAAGTTGTGAGGGAAATGGAGTTCCTATTTTCAATAAGGTTGATTATACTGTAGTTCATAATTTATTCCAGTATTCTAATTAAGCTAATGATCTGGACTTTGGGATATTAATATTCAAGGCAACCAAGTACAGTAGGTTGCAGAAAAGAAAAACCTAAAAAAAACAGGTGTTGCTTCATTGTCTTCATTTATCTCTTTTAAACTATAACAAAAATCAAAATAGTAAAATGGCTGCTTTTTTTACACTTTTAGTCTGCCTTTAGGATGATTCCCAGAGCTTTGTGCTAAACTGGTTAAAATTAGATAAGTAGTTAAACACCATGTGTTTCTCATTCAAACACACGTACTACAACAATCAAAACTGGGATAAAATTAAAGGGCAGATTATCTGGTACTAGGTTAGTTAATTTGCCCTTTAATTTTATCCCAGTTTTGATGTGTACCTTTTCAAGTAATATTTACATGTCCTGAAAGGAAAACTATTATCAGTGCAAAAATGAAGTATTTTATCAAGTTAAGCTTGACTCATGGGGACTTCTTGGACCCATCCTTGTGGTTTGCCTTTGTCTTCTTCTTCAATGTTCTTTGACTTCCTGGACCAAACTAAAGCCCTGTAATTCCCTGGTCGTCTCCTATCCAAGTACTAACCAAACCCAGCCCTGCTTAAATTCCATTCCCAGGCAAGGTCAAGCAGATGCTTCCAGATTCCCTTATATTTGCAGACTGATATATTCTAATTCCCTTGTATGTTGTTGATGTAGTATCATCTTTACATTCATGATTTGGTCTGATTAGGATGACAAAACAGATGATACAGATAATAAAACTATTTTTTTCTGACAATTTTAGAGGAACCTCACTGTGTAATGCATAAAATAGGAAAGTGGCCTTTGATCAGAATTAATTTTAACTCAAGCCTGTTGTATTACTCTAGTAAGTATAATATTATTCTTAATTTCTGTAACTACTGCTGCATGATAGTATTATTTGCTGACTCATTTCATTTTTAAAATTTGCTAATAGATTAGCATAAAAGTAATTGAGTGAAGATTATATTAATAAAATTCATTATATGGATGGCTTTCTCCATCAAATTACACTAGATGGATTTCATGCACTAGAGTTTAATTTTCCAATGCACTGATGATACACGTAGTCAAACTGAATTAGTTGTTTTATAGAGAATGTAATGCCCTGCTTAATTTAGAATTCAAGATTGAATACTTCTTTTCTAAGTGAACCCTTAATTTTCTTAATAAGTATATTGCATTCTGCTTTTACGCCCGGCAATATATAAAAGTCACTATAAATATATTTTAATAGGTAGTAGGTTTAATAGGTAATAGGCTGAGTTGACTCTTTGGTCATTATTTCAAGATAATCCTTCATAATCATATATTCGTGAAGTTGATGTTTTGTGGCCTGTTCTTCCATTTAAGGTGATTTTTCTGATAATTTTGCTGGAAGATACTATCAGTAGTATATTGATAGTACTGTAATATTTTGGTGACTGTTAGGAAAATAAGTAAGTAATTAAGTAGCTCTTAATTTCTTCACTGCATAACTCTTGTAATTTGATTTTTAAATTATGATTTATTATTTTATTTTTAAAATTTATATCATTGATTTCTCAAGTCTCTCATCTGTTTACAGTAAAACATAAAACCAATTACATATATATTAAAAACTATTTAAAACAATTAAAATAAATGATTAAACCCTATTTAAAATGAATCACTGGGCATTGGGCTATGTACAAATGATTATTATTATAATTAATAATTATTATTATTATTATTTCAGAGCCCATTTCGTATGATGAAAATGGTAGGTCCCTCAACCCCACATTGCACAAGCCTTCAAATGGCCTTTATATCATACCTTAACAGATCTGAATCAAATATTTTTCCATCTCTTCTCTAGCCATTTATCTTGCTGCTTGAGGTCCTATAGTTCATTCATCAACAAACTATGGGGCCTTTTTTCTACCAAGTCAGAAAGGTCACTGAGAAGCAATTGTGTCAGCTGACCTAGCAGGTTAATCCCCTGAATTAATAGAATCACTGGTAGGACCTATCATAAATTCGTCCATGTTCTCTTGGAAACCAACTGGATCCTGTAGTCTTTTCAGACAACTTGTCCTAATTGTTTTATTGTCCCTACAGAAGTACAATATTGGCACTAATTTAAATTAAACTAATAGTCATTTCATGACAATAGAGGGATCAAAGGCATCCCCATCCATGGAACATCTTCTTGGTCAGAACAAAAGATTAAACTGAGTATCTCATCTGCCTTAACTTTAACAAATGGGGATAGACTGATGGCTTTCATGGTGTTAGAATTCCTCCACCACTTGGACCAGCCCCAAAGTGGATACTGAAATCATGGTGAATCAGAGTCAGGGATTCTGTTTCACCAGCTCAAAGACCACCAGTCCAGTCAGATTCCACTGGCATTCACTAGCGATGTGCAATGTTTGGAAAGGTGTCCAGAGCTATTGCTTTGCTCACCATACTAGTTGGTGGCTCCTTAAAGAAGTCACATTTTCTCTTAAAAATGAAGTCTATGCAAATTAAGATCTCTAATCTAGAGATTACTTTGCAAAGTAACAAACTGTTGCCTATATTCCATCAACTAGAAGGTACATGTAGTACACTGACATACACTCAGGATGCTCTTGGACAATGATTTCCTAGGATTTTGTTTAAAATACTTACAGATATTTTAGCAGTGGGAGATTCATAAAGGCTTGATTATCTATGTATCTCAGATTTTTAGCATTTCGAATTTCTCTGTTGAGAACATAAACACAGTTCCAGAAAAAATATTAATGTTTATATTTTTGTTTATTTGTGAATTAAACATGTACACAAAATATAACAATAGATTCTGGAAAACATAACCCTTTCAGGATTTATGGCTTATTAGCGAATGTTTTGTGCAAAAGATATAAAACAATTTGGCTTCAGTATTTCAGGCTTATTATCTGAGTAAGACTAATTTTGGTTCCCTAGGTCAATCATATTGCAGAAAATTAACAAGACTTTGAATTGCTTATTGACGCAGATATTGGCCCTTGTGATAAAAATCCAACTGTAGTTACTGAAATTAATTAAGGTTACACCACAAAAGTATTCAATCAGCATAATGCACCCTCATTAATCTAATAAATAGATGATCCACAGGGTTTTAGCTATAATTATGGGTTCAAGGGAAAGAAATACTATATTTGTTAATAATTAAAACATTAAGCAAGAGTTTATTTAGTATTGCTCTATAGCTGGATTCCCTTTGACTTGCTTATAATGGTATTACCCATGCAGAGACAGCCAACGCTACATAACAAAAATGAATAATTAGATTTGACTACCAGACAGCCAAAAACTAATAATGGGAGATGGCTCTTTTTCTTTTAGACTCCTTGATGAATTTGGTTATCTATAATTTGGAGCAATATGTTGGACTTAATAGTTTTTTCACTATTTCTTAAAGCCAGAACACTTCAATCTAACCTTCTATGAGAAACAAGTTCTCCAACTTTTATACCTTGATATACCTTAAAAATAAATGTTAAATCTAAATTTTAAAATAAAAGCTATACAATTTTCTGTTGTTTGATTCCGCCCACCCTAAACTGTTTAAGGTTATCAAAATCAATCTTTAAGTAAACTAGGATGATAACTGTAAATATTATTTTTAGAAGTCAGACTTCCAAAATATTATGCAACATAAAGGATGCAATTATCCCCCAAGAAATCTTACATTCTAGGGAATAATTACAAAGATGCCAACAGATTTGAACTAGCAGGAATGATTTCAGAAATTATGAAGCAAACTCAAAAAAAGTGAACCATTTCTAAGATCCTTCCATCATAGAACCACACCAAGGTTTCTACCATGCCAGTCAAACTTTTTAACATTTTACCTGTTAAAGTTAATATTTCATTACTCCCAGTATTAACTGACTAAAACTTTGGTTGAATGAACATGTTCTTATGGGTTCATATTCTTGGTCAACAGCAAAATATAGCAATTGTGGAAAAAAATGAAAGAAAATCAGCAGTATTATGGCACTTTATTAATGATATAGACTGGCATTTGTGTTCATATAATGTAGATTTCCCTGCATTAGAATAAACAGTTTAAATATGTACTATGCTATAATTCACCATGAAATGTGTTCTTAAATAGTCTTTGAAAAAAATATAACTTTCCCTGCAAAAATATTAGGGATTGTTTACTGGAAAATAAAATTTTGTTCTTAAATAGCACACATACACAAAATTCTTACTGCAAGTAAATCTTATATGCAGTGATTAAAAGATGGGTCTAGAAAGACAATGGTACAGAAAATGATAACAAATAAATATGTATATTGGATGTGCTCAGTTTTGGAGAAACAGGTCTCACTGAACTCAGAGGAACTTCCTTTTAAGTAGATACATGTAAGATTGCCAATTACAGCTTTAAGGACACAGTTCCCAAGATGACCTGTAACACTTTTAAAGTTCACCTTCAGAACTGATATACAGTAGCCAGTTCACACAACCAATGTGATTCATGATATATGCATATATTTATATATGTTATATTTTAGAGCCATTTTACTGAAAAGGATTATCTCCGATGTGCCCAGAACAGAGGACCAGCACTTTGGATTGTTGCCATACCAGAAATGATTGTGCAGATGTTCTTCCTCAACCTGAATTGCACTGAGAGATAGTTGGTATGAATCAGATTTCACAACCTGGGCTAATGTGAACAAACACATCTTATCTATGGTTCCAGCAGCAGCCTTCCATGTCCCACTGAAATGGTCTCATCAACTGACTCATGCCCAGGGATAGCTACAGAGTGAAACAGAAGGGCATGAGAAAATTACAGAACACTCAAGTAATTTCTAAAGAGAAGAGAAGAGAAGAGAAGAGAAGAGAAGAGAAGAGAAGAGAAGAGAAGAGAAGAGAAGAGAAGAGAAGAGAAGAGAAGAGAAGAGATTACTGCCCAAGACCTGGAAGGATTTATTTTCATCTACTTACATGTGAGTGACTTTGTTTAAGTTGTTGAAAGAATAAGCCTCCAACACCTGCAGCACTGTATCTATGCTGATATAGCTACATATAAGAAAGAGAGAGAGAGAAAAAGGTTCACACATCAAAACAGATGGCAAGCCAAGAGAAGAATTCATTATATATGGGCAAAGTGACCAGGCCATCATTTGAAACACAAGTGAAAGACAAAACAACAAAAAACAAAAACGATTCTCCCTTTAGATCTTGGCATTGGGAACCTAAAGGGTAGAAGAGCTGACTTAGATCCCATCTGAACTCCTAAACAAATGTCTATCTTATTTTTTTTCTTTTAACAGGAAAGACCTATTTCATTCTTATTGGAAGAACAGAAGTGGCATACATTGCAGTGGAGGGAAAACCCATACCCCACTCCAGGCACTAAAGAATCAGCTGTATGAGATAATATAAGGAAGGGAACAGTGTCTCCCTTTCTCTCTTGAAGGACACCTCAAGGTTGTAGGGATGAGGCAAAATGACTTCCTACAGGAAGCAGGGTTCAGAAAAATCAAAAGTACCAGAGTACCCTTATTCACTGCACAGCTTGCTATATAAAGTACATTCCTGGGAAGTACATCTCTACAGCATACACACCAATGTTTGCACTGAGTAGAGTTGCAGAGCATCTAAAACACTTCAATCAACATCTATTTCATTGCTTTTATTTCTTTTTTGTGTAAAGTAATTGCATCAAAATTAGTATTACTTGCTCTTGGTTGCATTCAACAACCATTTCTTCATACTGGCAGAACTGATAGGGCTAGTAAATATTATTTTACCTCCAAACTATAGCCTCCCTCCCCCTATAAACTAGGAGGATTGGAGAAGTCTTGGGACCAGATTTTGGTGCATGCAGACTTAGTTTCAGCATAAAGAGAGAAGGAAAATTTTACAAGCAGCTTGTAAAACACTAGAAACACTCGGTTCAAATTATTTTTAGACTTACATATTTTAATTTCCCCAATATTTTTATTTCAGCATCCAAAAGCAGTGATGGGAAATTAATATTCTCAAAAAATCTCAGTGCAGTACTGATGTCTTGATCATAAATATCAGTACTCAGTTTATAAGTGCAATGGATCTTGGTTTCAACTTCACAGTATAGTGTAAAAAAGCCTTTTATCTCATGACTCTTAGTCCATTATCTCTTGTGTAAATATTATGGATGATTTCTTTTTATTTAAAATCAATTCAGAAAATATGTCTATAACTGTCCAGGGCCTACCAAAAGAAGATATACAGGTTAGCTTTCAGTTACACTGGAATCAAAGTGCCAGATAAAATGTTACAGTAAAACATTACATCAGATTGAACTTCAAGGTGCATAACTAAAACTCCTCAGCTAATCTCTGTGAAAAAGTAGTTACCAAGTAATCTGTTGAGTAAAAATATATCCCATAATAAATGTGCTAATAAATTCAAATAAATCAATAAATACCAGACTTTCGCTCTTTTCATTGTTAATTTATAATTATTTAATAATTATTTATTAAATTTATTTTAATTATCACATTATTTGTCAAATTATTTAATAATTATTCATTAAATGAATAAATATTAATTTATTATGTTTGTGTGTTAGATTTATATCCCATCTTTCTTCTAGGAGCTCAAGTTGCTTATATGAGTATCCCCCTTCGTTTTGTCCCCACAACAAAATTCCAGTAAGTTGGCTGAGTTTAATTTAAAATGTTATTCTGCATTTCTATTGAAAAGCATGCAAAGCAGCTAACAGAAGCAAAAAGATTCAATATACTGTATGTCCTTAAAATATCATTTCTGAAAGATTAAAACCAAATAGAAAAAGACCCAAAAATCTTGGGAAAAAGCCAATTCTTCATTGTAGAGCTGAACATGGAAAAATATGAGTGTGGGTGAGCCTCAGGTGGTAGTCTTTCACAGAGTGGACGCCAATCACCATGAAGGCCTTTTGCCATCCGGTCACTAGTCTGGCTTTGGTAAGGAGGACTGGAAGAGGAGAAGCCTCTCAAGTTTTTCTTAAAGGCTGTGAGATGAACGCAGGAGGAACTGGTCTTTGGGGTATTCTTTAGGATTTTAAGGCCAATAAACAACACCATGAAGTATGTTCAGAAGTAACTAACGCAGTCACCTTATAACTTCTGTTTTAAAGAGTTCAAGGACAGCTCAATGTAGAAAGCATTATAACAATCTACAAGTGCTGAAAATGTATTTAATTTTTAGCTGGCATTTTTCAAAAGGTGATATTCTGTTTCTTGGTAACTGTGTGGCAATGACATTGTAAATGGCATTAAATATTTGATAGTTAAGTGGGTTGGTGCTGCATGCAGAAACAGCTTGCACCACAGACATTGCAATATAAAACACAGAAATGAATGAAAAGGGTCTACAAAGGAAGTGAAAGTAAAGCAAGACTAGGACTAGGAACTTTACAGTCACCCATGTTAGTATGCATAGCTAACAAAATATGGTTAGCTGAGCTAAAAACAAGTCTGGTTGATGCAGAAATATGCAGTTCTCAGGTTTGCTGCTTCTTGGCCACTGATCCAGATCACCAGACCACATGTTTCAAGCTTCACCCCTTTTTAAAACATGCATCAAGTTACCTTGAGTTGCTTTACTCTTCCCCCCATCCCACCCTGCCCCTTTATGGAGAACCCTGTAGTCAGTATATTTCCAAGGTAGGGCACTGGGGGGATTCTTTGTCACTGAAATGAATAGCTTACTGTTGTTGTTCTGTTCATGTGCCTGTACACTGTTTCCTAATGATATAAGTGAAGCTGAAAGAAGTTCGTAACTACAGATTGGATGCTGCCTTATTGAATATCCCAGAAAGGAGGGAAAATACCCTACCTGAAGGCTTTGCAATAGCCTTGGCTAAAATAAATTCAGAGATTCTCCTTTGGATTCTTTCAGATCTACAGCCCAATTTCATAAATATTTTGAACAGGGGAATTTCAACAGCATAATCTTGTAAATATTTGTGTAAATGTGTGTGTGTGTGTGTACTTCCAGGATGTGGAAAGTCAAGGCCAAGTGGTCCCAGTGATGGTAGGAGCACTCAGGGCTGTGACTCCTAAGCTGGGAGAGTGGCTCCAACAGATCCC